TGACTAATCTAACCTTATATTGTCTTTGTGGTCTACCCCTGTGCCCAGATCTGTAAACGCCTTCCCCAACAATCTTTTCCACATCATACTTACCATCCATATCAGGTGGAATCATAGATCTGCGTGACGGAAACATGTCATTACTAACACAAGGAAGTAATTTTGAAGCGTGAAACACCGGATACGTGTGCAAGTGAGGGAGATTTCAACAACATACGAAGGACCATCCACTTCACCGATTACATCCAGAATCTGCCACTGTCCTCTATAAGCAGGCAGCAACTTCTGGGAAATATTATCCTCAGGGAGAAACTCTTTCGACTTTACCCCGACCAAATCTCCTACGACAAATTGCGAGGGCCTGCGATGCTTGTTAGCTTGTTCTATCATCTGATGTTGTGCTTTACTAATACTCTCTTTAACTTTTTCCAGATCTTTCTGGTACTGAATAACGAATTCCCTGGTTCCTGGCGGGAGTCGCTGCACTTGATCAGGGTTTAGACAGTCAATGGGTCTACGAGGGCGCCATCCAAGATGCAGTTCAGTTGGTGTTCTAGATGTATGTAGCTAGATGCACAAAATTGTTATAGGCACTTGCAACCTTCGACAGATGTTCGTCCCAGTCAATCTGATCTGGTCGAATGTACATGCGCAGTACTTGCTGCAGCAGCTTGTTCATCTGCTTGGTCTGTCCATTTGTGTCTCAGGATGTCTACCTGAAGACATAGTCAATTTAGAACCGTACACATTCATCAGTTGCTGCCATTGCTCACCTGTGAACCGCAAAGCCCTATCACTTACGATAGTCAAGGGATGGCCTCCCTATTCGCCAAAGCAGTTCTTGCTTCCCCAGGGAGTGGAACAAACACAACAAACTTGCTAAACCGATCTAATATCACCATAACCTAACTTTTCCCATTTCTGCTCTTTATCTTAGTGTCCATAAAGTCTATAGCCACGGAGTCCCCGGGTCCCGACGGAATAGGTAGCGGTCTGAATAATCCAAGGGAGGCTGTGTGGAACTCTTGTTCCTCTGACATACCTGACAGGCTTGCACATAGGAAATCCAGTCATGCTTCATTCCCGGCCACACGTAGGAGCGTAGGAGGTTAGCATAGGTCTTCCTCCATCCGAAGTGCCCCTCAGTATCGTGATTTTCCCCAAGTATTATGCTACGAATTTCTTCGCTGTTCGGAACGCATAGTCGGGTATGGACATGTGTTTTCAAACAACAGTCCCTGCGTTACCCTATAGTCCGGAACTTCCTGCGGTGTTGTCTGCACCTTGCCAATCAACTGACTACAGACTGGATCACTCTCATAAGCATACTTAATTTTCTCTTGTAGTTGGGTGCTTGCATCTAAATATGTGACAATGGCACCGAAAAAGTCGGCTCTTCTACTTAGTGCATCGGCGACGACATTGTACTTCCACTTTACTGGCTTCAGTTCAAAGTCAAACTGATCGATCTCCCCAGCCCACCTAGTCAGTTTAGGTGTCATCCGCGCCTGGGTTTTTAGCCAGCGAAGTGTTTCATGATCTGAATAGACCTTAAAATGGTGACCTAGCAGATAGTGTCACCAGTGATTCAATGATTCCCGCAAAGCGAACAGCTCTCTCTCATAGGTAGAAGCAGCGACCTTTTCGCTAGGCAATCTACAGGACATGAATTCCACAGGTATGTACCCATTCCCATCGTCTTGCTGGAGTACAACACCGATCCCGTATTGACTGGCGTCAGTAGTTACGATAAAGGGTAGAGATGGGTCTGCGACTTTCAACACTGGGTAATTAATCAAGCATTTATTTAGACGCTTGAAGGACGCAGTGCAATTCTGATTATGACACACATCAGTAGGCTATGTGACTTCACTGCATCAGCACGGACCCGTCAGTGCGACCTTCCAATTCTGTAAACATGACAAAGGCCATCGATGAGATTTATCAACGGCAGCCCGGCCCCGAAAGTCGCGGCGTGTTACCATGAGGGGCCCGGGCCGATGTCAGTGTGACTCTCGGATGCTGTAAACGTGACAAAGGGCATCGATGAGATTTATCAACAGCAGCCCGGCCCCGAAAGTCGCGGCGTGCTAACATGAGGGGCCCGCGCCCGATGTCAGCACAACTTTCGGATCCTGTAAACGTGACAAAGGCCATCGATGAGATTTATCAACAGCAGCCTGGCCCTGAAAGTCGCGACGAGTTGACATGAGGGGCCCGCTGCCAATGTCAGCTCGACTTTTGGATGCTGTAAATGTGACAAAGGGCACCGATGAGATTTATCAACAGCAGCCCGGCCCCGAAAGTCGCAGGGCGTTAAAATGAGGGGCCCGCAGCGCGGCTTCCGGATGCTGTAAACGTGACAAAGGGCATCGACGATATTGGCATCGACGATATTTTTATCAACGGCAGCACAGTCCCGAGAATCGCGGCGCGTTAACATGAGGGGCCCGCGGCCGATGTCAGCGTGACTTTTTTTTTTCCGGATGCTGTAAACATGACAAAGGCCATCGATGAGATTAATTAACGGCACCCTGGCCCCGGAAGTCGTGGCGCGTGAACATGAGGAGCCCGCAGCCGATGTATGGGCGACTACTCAAAGAAATAGCACACAAGTATCCCACACCAACAGAAAGTGTTCCCAAAAAAATGCCGACTGTCTGTCCTACCGTGCTAACCTGTAAGTCCCACCACAATCAACCACTGGCAAAAACAGTCGCATTCGTCAATGAAAGGCCCCGGGCCCCCGATCCCACCTGCACCAGGAGCCCCAGCAACCATGACACTCCGACCTCAACCCTTTTTTTCCCTTTTTTTTTTGGTTTTTTTAATCAGCCTTTCTTCTAACCCCGACCCCAACCCTAAGAGATTAAAAGACTAAGCCCAGAGGACTGCCACCAGTGAACAGCCCACAAATCAGCTGTGTGATGGCACCAGAGCCTCCCCTCCCTCAACACCAGAAGCACCACTGCTGACACCACCAGAACATCTGAGCGCTGTTTCGCGATGTTGATTTCTGCCACACGTCAAGTTTTGCTGAACCTGCACAGGTGTAAGAACCCATCTTTTTTTTACCTGGCGCCGCCACCACCAGCCTCTTCTGTTCCGTAGGCTGATCCTGCAAGGATCTGGCATGTTAATTAATTGGCGCGCCAGAACAAAAAAAATACCTGGGAAACCTACTGGTGGTTCAGAGCATGCTTAAGACTCCCGTGCCCCACGTGCTCCGGAGCAGAAGGCCGTGGAAATCACAATCACACAAACACTCAGGCTATCTGATCCTCTTCATGAAGATCTCACAACCAACTGAAAACCAAGTCCATCGCAAAAAAACCGCCCAGGCATCCATTCGAGCCAAGAGAACAGCAGACGGTCTTCAACAACAAGACCCAATGTCAATGAACATGCACCATCGAGCGTTGTTATAAAGAGGCACGGTGAAGGGTGAGCTCCAACAAGACCTGATGTCAAAAACCATACACCATTGTGTGTGTGTGTGTGCGTGTGGAAGTGCGTAGGCGAGCACATGTGTATGTCCGTGTGGGTGGGTGAGCATGTGTCGATGTGGATGGGTGAGCACACTTGCACACACACATGTGGATCCATGCAGGCGTGCACATGCGCTGGCGGGCGGGCCGGCATGCGTGTGCACACCTGTGTGGGCACATGGGCGTGTGTGTGTGTGTGTGTGTGTGAGAGAGAGAGAGAGAGAGGGAAACCATGAAATTATTACCGTGTGTGTGTGTGTGTGTGCGTGTGTGTGCGTGCGTGCGTGCGTGCGTGCGTGTGTGTGTGTGTGTGTGTGATGTGTGTGTGTGTGTGTGTGGCGG